ATGAGTCGGTGGCTAGAGGGGCTTGGGGGGGGCTGTCGGGAGGAAGAGTCGAGAAGAAGAAGAAGATGAGGACGAGCAAAACACGTGGCTGAGGAGAGAAATATCAGCCTTGATCCTTATCCTAATTTCCTTTCTTTTCAGTCCCTGAACTTTTAAAATATTTGCTATTAAGCCCCTCAATAATATTTTCCCTCAAATAAGTCCCCATTTTAATGCTAAAATACCCCAAAATTTTGGGATATTACACCCTTACTGTGAAATCGACAACTATTAACCATATAACTTGTGTATCTTCTAGCCTTATTGTTTGGCCCATGAGCAAGCCATTTGATTCTGTCTATGATTTTAGTACTTCCTTTCTTTAACAAGTCATTAACCTATTCATTACGTAATAAATTTGTTTGAAAATAGTAATAGCATGAATTGATTAATTACAAATTATATGCTACTTATTTGTACTTCAAACCAAAAATTAAAGATTTGGCTATGAATTTTGTCGATCTCATGATGCTTCAATCTACAAGAGTGCCTCTATTTCATAATCATCTCCTTGTGACACCTACATGCAAATTTCAATAAAGGATAAGTATGGTATAGACCAACTAATTATACATTTAAGAGAGAACAAAGACTAACTTTAGAAATGAAGCAATTTCCTCACTATTAAACAGCACATATCTATGTGCTTATATATATGTCTGGTCATCTAACTCAATTCAAGAAACCCTTTTTTGCTTCTTCACTTGGAAGCCTTGTTTACCCTTTCTCCCTAGTGGTCTCCCATTTTCATGATCATCATCGTTGTGTAATAGTCAATTGAACTTAGTCTCAACCACCAAGAGATATCTTGAACAAAATGTTAGGCACTCTTAAGCTAAATAACCTTCTACAATGTAGCCTTTTGGATACCTTGGATTATGTACATAAGACTTTAATGTGAAAAGGTTCCTACTCAAATATGAATTATTATAAATATATTTGAAAATAAACCAACAAATATGAGTTCTTTTTTTATTAATTAAAAGAACTATATAAGTCTACTACAATCTACAAACAACCATCAGTTGCAGTTCCATCCAAAAGGGAAAAGTTAGTTAAGAACAACTGCAGCATTGTATGGTAATTGTTAGTGTAGGTAAGGAGATTAGAACTTAGACCCATAAGTTGACAAAAGCATAATAAGATCAACAATGGGCCGATTAAATAATAATAATAATAATGGGTGATAATAAAAATATATTGTACAGATACAATTCAAACTAATAAGACTAATATAAAAGAAATAAACATGTTACACATCATAAAAAAGCATTTCATTTATTACCTGATCCAACAACAAAAAAAATCATCATTCATCACCAAAAGTGAGGCTAAAACTAATAAACAAGTAACAAGAATCCTATAGAGAGAAAGCAAGGGCCAAGGATTTCAATTGTCCTATAGAAGGAAAAGACAAACACAAGGGATAGTTCAATTTTAAAAGTCAACAATTGAAATAAAATGCTAGACCAAATAATCCTTTGTAAAATAATTTTAGAATCAATTAGGTAAAAAATTTCATGAACATGTAAAAGCACTGCAAAGTGGTTTAGCCATAGATAATAAATAAAACACAATATCTTAATCAAAATTTCAAATTATTGATTAAGAATACCTAAAAAAGCATAAAATTATTCTTAATCAATAATTTGAATATAGGAATGATTTTAGATATAAGCGTCAAAATTAGATATAGTAAAAGCAGCAAAAACTTTAAACATCTAGTTTTGAAAAAGCAACAATAAGTGCTTTGTACTCAAACTAGATCATTTAAGAAATGCATGGTAACTCAAATCTAAGCTTCACATGCTCGATAAGCCTACCAAAGGACGCAATTTCATAATGACAACATATAAAACTCTATAACCAATATCACATTCTTATGATCTCATGTATGATGAGATTTAGTAAAGCTAGTAAGTAATATTACAAAATAGACTAACTTTTCTTCACAATCCAATATGACTATTTCTTGTTTAGATGTGTAATACCCCAAAATTTTGTGATATTTAGCACTTAGTTAAGGACTTGATTGTGAGAAAAATATTATGTTGGGGCTTAATAGCAAAATTTCCTAACTTAAGGAACTTAAAAGAGGAAAGAATTTGGATAAGGACCGGGTATTTTTTTTCTTCTTTCTTTCTTCAGCCTTGCCCGATTCTGCTCTTCTTCTTTTCTTCCCCCTGCATCGAACAAGTAGCCCAGCCCCGAAGCACCTCCCCTTGAGAAAACTGGTAAGAGGCTTGGTTTTTGCCTTTCTTTTCTTGTTCGAAAACCAGTTTGGAGCCTTGAAACCTTCTCCCCCTGCAGAGAAAATTTCCAGATCTGCTCTGCTTTGTCTTCACCGCTGGCTGCTATGTGGGTGGGTGATTTCTGGGCATTTTTTCGGTAAGAACAGCCATTAATCCATCCTTTTAGCCTTAAATTAACTTGGGTTACTCTAATTTGTGCTTTTGGTTCTCTAATTTCCGGTAGATTCCCCCGAATTTTCCTTGCAATTCCCGCCGGCTCCTCCCCAATCTGCACTCCGGTTTTGCTTGCTGGATTTATGGTATGTGATAGCCCCTTTTGAGCCTAAAATAATCCATTAGTTGTTGAATTATCCATTTAGTGGCTACCCCTGTGATGTCCGAAATCCTGTTGAAAAATGGGGATGAACTTTGACAGTAATTAGACCATGATTTAGCTTAACTCAAGTGGGATTTATGTGATTGAGTGTTAATTGACTGCTGTGATTTTTTGAGAGAAAATCCCGTGAGATTTGCTATGGTTTTGTCAATTTTGGAAAGTGCGGTTACTGTTCACGCGTACCAGTTACTGTTCATGAAGAAAATTCTGCAATTTGCTACTGTTTTCTGCTCCTTTTCAGTCCGTTTCTGCTCTGAAAAATCTGATGAAATATCCTTTTTTTTGGTCTTTTAGCTGGCTGTAGTTGAATTCTGGAAATATCAGTTACTGTTTATGGATACTGTTCACAATCACTGTTCACAAATACTACTCACGCACTGATGGCCAAAAATTAACGGGGATTTAAATGTTTAGTTTGCAATATAAGAATAAATTTGGAGATGCGTTATGTGGGGATTGATAGGAATAGTATCGTGATCAAGGGGTAGTCATGGTGATTTTACTTTTGAATTCGTAGTGTGATATTAATTCTTGGATATTTTGATTAGGTTCCTGATTGTTCTGTCAGTTTAGCACTGGGATCGAGTCTTCGGTTTTATGCGAGTGGGGTAAGTAAATTTATGGTAATACCCGTACAGTTTTTAAAAGCATGGTTTGATTTGTTTTTGAAGTAGTGGCGGGATTAAATCCGTTTTATATAAAAGTAAGTATGACTACTTTGAAGTGAAATTTTTATGCTTTCATTAAATTGAGCATGCTTACTTGAAATTTAATTGATTGTCCTGATGATTTGAAAGTGATTGATGAATTATGATTTTTCTGTTAACTTCAGCCTGTTTTATCTCTGATGTGGTCATGTTATTAGTGACCCTGCTAGTGGGGGTTAAACGCTAGCACATGTCGACATGTTAGTGATAGACTCGATTCGTATGAGTGACCCTGCTAGGGGGGATTATACACAAGCAAATAGTATGCCTGCCAGTGGGAGGTTTATAACACTGGCCATGACCTATAGAGGAAACGTCTATTTCGTTGCCGTACTGTATCCGTTTTCATGATTGCACTTGTTGGCATGGTATAAGTTTAATTAATGGCACTCCATATTTTACTTACTGAGTTTATCTCATAGTTTTTCCTTGTCTACAATTTCAGGAAACGAAACCGAGGACGAGGAAACCACGGGAAGTGACGAGTTAGAAAGCTAGCCATTTCGAGATTGATATAGTTTTTAGAAATAAATCATGCTTTTGTAAGGTAGATTTTATCTTGAATTTATGAGATCAAAATAGATTTCGATCATTAGATCAATTACTTGGATTTAAATCATTTTGGATATAAAAATAAATTGAGATATTTGATTTAAGTTATTGGATTGTCAAATGTGAATTGGATAAGTTCCGAACCTTATGCATTTGTAGGACCCTCTTACGAGTGCACGGTGTCTGTCGCGCCTCGAATTTGGGTTTTGAGGCGTGACAAATTTAGTGGTATCAGAGCTTTGGTTTGAATTAAGAGCTTAGGTTTAAATTAAGAGCTTAGGATTAAATTAAGCACCTCCAGATTGAGTGGTAAATACCTAGGTTTAATTGAATACCTAGGATTTGTTTGGGACTTGGCTAGCCAGTGGATTTTAGAATCGTGGTGAGATGAGTGATGGGGTTATATGAGGGACGATTTTGATTCATGTTGCCTGAATTTTCTAATCCATTTTGATGAGATGGTAATCTGATTGTTCTTGTTTCCTACCTTCATACCCTATGTAGATTCATGAAATTAATCTTGTCCGCCATGTTCTTAAGACCTTGTTTTGAAACTTTGTCATTTTCTGATAGTCTGCACTTGTTTAGACTTGTTACTTGAATAGAATTTTTGTATGCTCTTTTGCCACCATTGTAAAATCTGAGAAGTTGCGGAGATCTTTTGTTATTGATCCTATTGGTCTCTACAGCATAGTTGGTTGAGAAATTTGTTCTTGTCACATGACCAGTGGAAGATGGGCAACCCTCTACTTTGTAAGAGATTCAAGGCTATTTTAGCAAATGTTGTGTGTTTTCTAGATGCGTTTTAGGAGCTGGATAACTTAGTAATTTCACTGCTCATTATCTTTCTGAAAGTCTTATAGTGAAATTTCACTTTTTCCATTTGGTGCCTCATGGTCTTTTCATGTGGCTCATTTTTCTATATTGGTTAATCAAAAACAGTGATCATTCAATTGAAATTGCCTTGTTTTTGTGAAGATTGGCAAGCTGTCATAAAGTTAAACTCTCTATCATTGCCAATCTCTACATTCTTGATACCTGGAACTGCTTGAAACTTTTGAAATCCATCTTCAATCTTTCTTGAGATTGTTTTGTACTTGTTCTTGAAACTGAAATCCAAAGGAAATGGATAATGATTATTGAAATCCTCATTATGTTGATACTTGTCTGAAATTAATTTTTGCACTGTTCTTGGAATCTTCTCTCGAACCTTGCTTGGAGTAAAGTCAAGTTAGCATCCTTTTCTTGAAAATCAATTGATATTTGGTTTTTGGAATCTATTTTGAATTGTCCTTGAAAACCATTCTTGTCCTGACCCTTACTCTTGTTCAAATTTTATATATTGCTCTTGCTCAAATCCTGCATATTCTGCTAATTCTTGTTTTAGTATACCTATTGATCTTCTTGATTTTGATTTTTGTTCATATGGACACCTCTTTAGGAGGGGTGATGATTATTAGAAAATACCTATACGAGGTATCCTAATTCTTATCTCTCGCAAGTGTTAATCTCTGTATCCTTGATGTCTTAGCTTTGACTTGACTCTAGGATGTCTAGGATGACTTGATTGTAAATCTGCTTAGCCTCCATGGGCTACGAGGTGAAGGAGTAGTCTTTGAAGTACCTGATGCCCTAAAGTTTTATTCCAAGAGAAATGGTTCTTTTATCTGGTTCCTTTGATTTTTGTTTGCTCTTTTAATTAGAAGACAGTAATCTTCTAAGCATCTTGATCCCAGCCATTGCTTTGTTCTATTAATTAGTTCTAGTACTTGAGGTGCTAGATCTTGACATCCTGGTTATATCTGCTCTTGAATCCGTGTTCTAATTGTCATTATTGAATTCTCTTTTGTGAGCCTAGTCCTTGAATTCTATTGCTTGTTTCATGGTTAACTCTTGTCTCTCAATTTTGACTATTTGGTAAAAATTGATCTTCATTCTTGATGAATGCCGTTTTGTTGCTGGAATTTTTGAGGCATTCTACCTTGCATGCTTATGTTCCAGTATTCTTCCAAGCATTTATAGCTCCACTGATTTCATTCTGATGTTATTTTGGAAATTTCACATGTTTTTTTATGGGTCTAGCTTTTAACTCTTATTAATTGCTAAAATCTGTCTCTTGATTCCAGTTGTTTTGTTAAACATGATCTTCCTTATTGGTTAACCTTGTTTTGTAGCAGAGTATATAAGGCATCCATGCACTTGTTCATTCATTCATGATTCGTACCTCCATTGGATGCTTATCCGTCTTTGATAGAGTTCAAAATTTTGTTGTACTCGTCTTTAAATCCATGCCATTCTTTGCCAACTTGTCTTGTGTTGGGTTCATAGCATAACCCCACAATTGTTCTTTTGTAGCCTTGGTAGGATTTATTTTTATTCCTTATGCTTCTCGTATCACCTCAGCCTCCAATAGCTTGTTTCATGGTAAACCCTATTAAGTAGTTAATGTTTTGCTTTTATGATTAGTTTTCGTTTGTTATCAGAGTGGCGCAGCGGAAGCGTAATAGGCCATGTTTGTTCATCGAAAGTTAGTAGGGCATTTGTTGTCTAGGATTGTGTGAAGCCATTCACCACTCGAAATGATCCTCGTTTGAGTTTTGGGGACAAAACTCCTTTTTAGGAGGGGTGGATGTAATACTCCAAAATTTTGTGATATTTAGCACTTAGTTAAGGACTTGATTGTGAGGAAAATATTATGTTAGGGCTTAATAGAAAAATTTCCTAACTTGAGGGACTTAAAAGAGGAAAGAATTTGGATAAGGACCGGATATTTTTTTTGTTCTTTCTTTCTTCAGCCTTGCCCGGTTCTACTTTTCTTCTTTTCTTCCCCCTACATCGAACAAGAAGCCCAGCCCCGACGCAACTCCCCTTGAGAAAACTGGTAAGAGGCTTGGTTTTTGCCTTTCTTTTCTTGTTCGAAAACCAGATTTGGAGCCTTGAAACCTTCTCCCCCTGCAGAGAAAATTTCCAGATCTGCTCTGCTTTGTCTTCACCGCCGGCTGCTATGTGGGTGGGTGATTTCTAGGCATTTTTTCGGTAAGAACAGCCATTAATCCATCCTTTTAGCCTTAAATTAACTTGGGTTACTCTAATTTGTGCTTTTGGTTCTCTAATTTCCGGTAGATTCCCCCGAATTTTCCTTGCAATTCCCGTCGGCTCCTCCCCAATCTGTACTCCGGTTTTGCTTGCTGGATTTATGGTATGTGACAGCCCCTTTTGAACCTAAAATCATCCATTAGTTGTTGAATTATCCATGTAGTGGCTGCCCTTGTGATGTCCGAAATCCTGTTGAAAAATGGGGATGAACTTTGACAGTAATTAGACCATGATTTAGCTTAATTCAAGTGGGATTTATGTGATTGAGTGTTAATTGACTGCTGTGATTTTTGGAGAGAAAATGCCGTGAGATTTGCTATGGTTTTGTCAATTTTGGAAATTGCAGTAACTGTTCACGCGTATCAGTTACTGTTCACGCAGAAAATTCTGCAATTTGCTACTGTTTTCTGCTTCTTTTTAGTCCGTTTCTGCTCTGAAAAATCTGATGAAATATCCATTTTTCTGGTCTTTTAGCTGGCTGTAGTTGAATTCTGGAAATATCAGTTATTGTTCATGGATACTGTTCACGAGCACTGTTCACAAATACTATTCACGCATTGATGGCCAAAAATTAACGGGGATTTAAATGTTTAGTTAGCAATATAAGAATAAATTTGGAGATGTCTGGTTATGTGGGGATTGATAGGAATAGCATCGTGATTAAGGGGTAGTCATGGTGATTTTACTTTTGAATCCGTAGTGTGATATTAATTATTGGATATTTTGATTAGGTTCTTGATCGTTCTGTCGGTTTAGCACTAGGATCGAGTCTTCGGTTTTATGCGAGTGAGGTAAGTAAATTTATGGTAATGCCTGTACAGTTTTTAAAAGCATGGTTTGACTTGTTTTTGAAGTGGTGGCGGGACTAAACCCGTTTTATATAAAAGTAAATATGACTACTTTGAAGTGAAATTTTTATGCTTTCATTAAATTGAGCATGCATACTTGAAATTTAATTGATTGTCCTTATGATTTGAAAGTGATTGGTGAATTATGATTTTTCTGTTAACTTCAGCCTATTTTGTCTCCGATGTGGTCATGTTATTAATGACCTTGCTAGTGGGGGTTAAATGCTAGCACATGTCGACATATTAGTGATAGACCCGGTTCGTACGAGTGACCCTGCTAGTGGGGATTATACACTAGCAAATAGTGTGCCTGCCAGTGGGAGGTTTATAACACTGGCCATGACCTATAGAGGAGACGTCTATTTCGTTCCCGTATTGTATCCGTTTTCATGATTGCACTTGTTGGTATGCTATAAGTTTAATTAAGGGCACTCCATATTTTACTTACTGAGTTTATCTCATAG